CACTCCCATAAATTCAACCATTTACTGTGATTCCCAGTCACACGCAACCAACARACACCTAAATCACAAAGAAAAAATGGAGTCTTGGTGGATGTCAATTTTAGAATTTTTTATATATGTGTTGTTTTTTGTGGTGGAAATGAATATCAAAGGTGAAAACTAAGTAGCATACATTTGTAACACAAGTGCTACCTTGTTCTAGGTTTTAGAGACTACTAGTGCTGCAAGTAGGCATGAAGTGATATCTGGGTATTTATATCGTTGTTGCATATTTATCTAATGCCTGTCTCTACATGTAATTTATTTGTCATAGTGTAGCGACCACAATAGTACTGACAACAAATATCTATAGCTGTTTTTAACAATATAAAAGAAAAACAATATATTACAAAAAAGAAAGTTCCTATCTATTTTTTATAAATACAGGTCAAAAGTAAGCTGATATTTCTATAATACTGCTTTCTTTCTGCTTTCTGAATTTCCAGCACTCAAATATTCAGTACCACTGTGCTTACTGGTTGTAATACACTTTTTTGAGGACTCATTCACCAGTAGCTTTGGTAACATACTGCAAACTGCAAGTGGTCACGGCCAGGGTTTTGTTGCATTCTCAGTGATTCTTTTAATTCCCCATTTCATTAGAGATGGGACGGCCGTTTAATGTAGTCATTCAAGCCACATGCGATTCACAATTATCCCCAATGTGAAAAGCCAGGTTTTTGACACCTCAATTTTGGCATGAGCCAGGGATAGAGCGCTAACACTAGGCCACTGAAGCTCTCTAAACTAACTTCATTCAGGGACAACATCTACAATATGTAGTAGAGAAGGGTCAGAAAACATCCAAATAAGATCAATAGCCTGTGATCTCTGCTGAACTCAAGTACTGCATGCTCAGAAAATCATCTCGACGAACACAAATCGAGATCTTCTCTGGCATCTACAATGCAGGGATCCCAATGGAGCAAATACAGGTTTAGTCTAGCTTCTCACCTAATGGCTCACAGCAAAATTGGGGGGCACTTAATTTGACCATAAAGCTTGAATCTATGTTGGGTGAAGGGAATCTCAAGTAATACCCTTGTATTCTGTTTTCTTTTTCTTTTAGTTTAATTACCCAAAAACTGACTTTTCAAATAATGGAGGCCTTAAAAAAGGGTTTTAATTTTTTCTTGAACATGAGCATGCTCTAGGGACAATAACATAGGCATATAGGCATTGCCATTTAAAATTTGCAAAAGGAAAATTTTGTCCCAAAACTGTTCATATTCAAACTGTAAAAACTCGAAAATTGTATGATGAAATTTCTTTTTTGAATGTGGCTTGGCTTTTTTCGTGTATTTGAAAACGTTAAGCAAAAAAAAAAAAAAAAAAAATTCCACTCCATTCTGTTGCAAAGTAAGTTTTTTACGTTAGTCAAAGTATGAGTCAATAATTCTTCGTTTGCACGTTACGTCATCGCGGCCATGTTTGGTACCATTTAGCAAAAGATTTCTCATTAGCATATTTTGTTAACGGTACCACAATGGCCGCCATGTCTTTTAACTCTCTTGGGAATGCTTGCAACCCATCAATATAGTGACATTAATTAATCTGCAAACATAAAACCAGTCTCAAAATTTATCTTAAAGTAACATCACTGAAGACATTGGGGCCATTTATAACTGAGAAAATAAGACGTCTCATTTGATGACAGGGTWATGAGCTGTTCTAAGTTAAGCCAACCCTTGAATAAGACGCAAACATGTTCACATAAATGACACTCGCATCTTGGCTATAAATCACGAAGCAATGTGACAGTAATTCAATTTATAAACTTGTGGTTCTCCTTGTCAATTTTCATCTAAGCACACCAGGTCAGCTCGAATTCGGCTGGTAATTTGAGATTGTATGTTACTTCCTAATTTGCTTTCGAAATCATCGGAACTTTTGCAAGTTGCACTGGCTGTAAAAATGTTTAATGAACTTCTGACCTCATCACTCATTCCAGGCATAGTTAACTCTGTTCTAGGGGAATACAGCTATTTCAAAAAAGGTTGAATACTGAACACTGAATACTGAATAGTGCATTCCAAGACCGGAGTGTTCTCTGAGACGCGAACGCTTTCTCTGATGTACGTAGCAAAAGTAGAAAACATGTTTAGTTTATTTACTGATTTTATTCGTTTAATTAATTCCATTGTCGCGGACAAACTAATATACTTGTAAACTTACTTATCTTTTACCACTGATGGAAAATCATTACCTTGGAATGAAGTGTAATTCTCGTTTATTCCGTACCTATTCTTTGAAGTACAATTGTTGCTCACATTGTCGGCACTGTCGAACCGAAGGTATATAAAGCTGGATATTTTGAGCCCGAGCTTATACACTATATTTCAAAAAGCTTTTTTTTGTGCGAATATAATTATATTTTTATTTTGTATTTATTTCTTCCTTGTGTAGATAGAAAGAATACCAAGAGATATCACGCGTCGAGGCTTCTCTGATGGTCTTTACAATGGAAAGCAACGAGAGTGTGGTCGTTGCACAGGGGGATAAAACCAAACGTGTCATACTTAGACAAAGAATCGCTATCCAATTTCTTACTGTCTTGTGTTTTATTTTCTCGATCTTGTTCGTGTGGCAACTGACGACAAATGTCACTGGGGGGAAGGTGAGTTTAGGACGTTTAATCTAGATCAAGGGAGGTAATTTTCCAAAATTAAGTCCTAAAAGCTAAGTACTTGGGCGTGGATTTAGAGAGCAAAATGGAATTAGGAATTACGTGTTTTGGCTGAAGAAGAAAAACAGGAAAACCTGGAGAAAAAATATCAGAGCTAACAAGAAAATCTTAAACAATTTCATGTCGAATCTGGGACCAACTAAGAGAGACAGTCAAATTACAGCAACAATCTCGTACAGATTTACCAAAATTTTATTTTTAAATGGCCTATGGATAACTCGAATAAATCATTTGAGCAATTAATGCTATCGCACTAACATACGTAAAAACAAGCTAAATATAGAACTGTCCACTCCATATAGAATCGACACTGAAAGTGCTGTCTCAGGCTTTATAGGTGCACTTTAAAATACCTTCAGCAGTGAATTATCATCTAAGGATTTCAAGGCCGGGTATTCAAGGATATATTCTTGTCTTACGATACTAAAAGATACTATAATTCTGCAATTAGAGCTAAGTTCTGGAGCTTTTGGGACATTGAACCCTGTTCTATTTTTATTTCGTACCTCCCCTGTCCGACTCCATCTTTATCTCTTTGTTTGGAACTCTGCGAAAACAAAATTTATATTTCTGTGTTTATTTTTTCAATTTTTTTTTCCATTCACCAGGATTCAGACAAAAGCCATTTACCGACCATCAACAACGATGTAAGTATAGCGTATAGAATTGTGCCATTTTCTTTTACTAGCTTTCCTTTCTCGCATCAAACAAAATCTTAAAAGCCTGTTGTGTAGAAGATGTTTCCGGCAAACACAGGCACACAATATAGTCAAGTGACACGTGGTCTAAAATGGTTCCATGGCTCAACATAACTGACATAACTCGAAAAACGTTAGCCTTATAATGGGGAAGCATTATTCTAAAATATCAGATTTATTAACTCATTTTCTTTTTTCTGTTCTATTTTATTCCCTAGAAACTGCTTGAACTGAAAGCTAGCCGCTGTCCTGTCGTGCCATCACAGCAGCTTCTTCCAAGATCCCTACCAAGTACAGTCAACAAAGCCTTGTATCTTGAGGACTTGGTATTCAAGTCTTTAACGGAATTGCCATCATTGGTACGTGAGGAAAAAGAAAGTAAAGGCCTTTCTTATTTATCATATAATTATCCATAAAATACCTATATTTTTCCTTTTCGAAAAACTGATATTTTCGCATGTGAAAATAACATGTTATTTTCACATGTGAAAATATCGTTTCCATGTGTATTTAAGCTATTACTTTATAAATAAAAGCTTTTTATAATAATAAAAAGCTTATAAAGTTGATTTTATGGATAATTATATAATAAACAAAATATAAATGGGCGTTTGGAGATACGAAATTTATCTGCTCGTGTTGAAAATCTCTATTTCAAAGATATTTTCAATGCTCGAAGATAAATTTCGTATCTCCGCGCGCCCATCTAATATCCTCTATTTATTTTATAAGGGCTTTGAGATCAGGAAGAGATCCTGTAGACTTGAAAGGCACTTTAAGATAATCGAACCCTTCTCGATTAAGTCTACTGCTAAGAATTTGTCTTGACTAAACCCATTTGCGAGAACTATTATTGAAGCTTATAACGCCAGTGTTATCGATTGAATTCATAAGATTAATTATCGTGCTGTGATTCGTGGGTAACACTCAATATCGAAAACTGAACTAGTATTAACATATTCCCTGAGTTTAATGAGTGTTTAAACGTGACATGTGTTTTATGATTTTTCACACATTTTTTATTATTTTTACTGCTTTCAATAGGAAGCACTAACGGCCAGTATATTGTATCAAGACAAAGTTGTGTGGGCGAAAAAGCATGGAACGAGGGATTCCAAAGCCTCATCTCCAGTCCCCCCGAATGAAAATACAGTGTTCAGAGTAGCAAGCGTCAGTAAGATCTTAACGGTAGGGTATTTCAATTGTCAATCTGTTAGTTTCGGAGATGTGCGTGTGTGAGTTTGTGTAGGTGGGGGCGTCATTCCCGGGGAAGTGTTTCAAGGGATATGAAGTCCCATTTTCGAGTTTCAAATTTCTTCGTCTGCATAACTAAACTCATGTTAAAAAGTCACCGATTTCGAAAGAGATGGTTAAACACCCTCTCGCTGGCTTTGGAAAAAGGCTGGGAACACCCTTCGGCAAAAATGGGGAATGGGGACCTTCACAATATTTAACGTCGCCACGCCTTAGTGCTATATACGGGATACTTTCGGAAAATAGCACAAATCCAGATAGTTGGGGTACGCAAAACTCTTGGGTGCACTGCGCATGATAATAGTGAAGCTTTACACGTCCTAAGAAAAGAATACTAGCATGATGTTATGAGTAGATAGCGGTTCTGCGCCACTTGAGGTGTCACTCGGTACCTCACTTCAATGACCGAAAAGTGTAAGCTCTCAGACCGCGGAGAATGGGGAACTGAACCCCGGTCTCCCGCGTGACAGACGGGGATACTGAGAACATCCATGAATTTGTTTTACGTCGAGTTTGTTTAGCTATGGTAATAAAAGTTTATAAAAGATATCTCTGTGCGTTTCCTAATTCCAAGTCAGTATGGAGGTATAAACTGAAAGTTTTGGGTCTTACTTGGATTTGCAGAATGTATTGTATTCTGAGTTAAGGTTATTGTATTACAGGGTATTGTTTATCTCCAAACTCATTGTTCTCGGCTATTGTTTTATTGTCTTCATGGCTCAGGTGTCCTGCAACACCAAGAAAGAGCCGAAATATTTAATGATCGTTCTGCACCACGGGCCCCGTCGGACTGCCACGGGCCGGTATGGGGAGGGGTGGTATACGTCATATTTATATTTAGCTGGGCCCAATTTTTAGGAGGGGGAGGAGGTGGTATGAGTCATATCTATTTTAGATGGGAGGATTGCACCACCACGACGTTATAAGGAAGATTTTCGTGAGGGAAGAGCTGGTCTTGTGGCTCGCGTTCTCTAATGTGAGATTTATGCAAGCAAATTTGGTAATCATTCAGCATATGGAGCTATTTTGTGAGGTTCCAAGTCGCGCAGAACCGCTATTATATCTACCGATATTTCAAGTTGACGCTTAGTATTTTGTGCTTTTCAGGTGATATTCGTTTTCTTTTTGCTGGAATCCGGAAGTATTTCTAGTCTGGATGATCMTTTAGAGAAATATGAACCCAACTTTGTCGTTATCAATAAATTTGATTCCAACAAAATCACGCTCAGGTAAGGGATCTTTTCAGTCAAATTAATCAGCATGAGCATGAGTATAAGTATGATTAAGACAGTATGAGTGTACGTAGGCAGTACTAGAAGTGTTGTACGAAATGTCCTCATAAATACCCAAAAGTGTTTGGAGTCGTGTGGAACACAGAGGAAGCCACCCATGTTGAGATCCAAGAGTCCTTTAAGAATTAGCGATAGTTCAGAGTTTCCAACACGTGCCTTATACTTTCACAGTTTCAGTTGAATATTTTTCTTCCACAATAGGCACATTCTCACCCACACGTCAGGGCTGCCCAGAGAGGTACCATGTGGAGACAGCTGGTCTAAAAGCTCGTCGATATTATGTCCTGTTAATACAACATTTGTATTAGAAAAACTTAAAATGACCGAACTGAAATCTCCTCCGGGTAAAGAACCGAATTACAGGTAAAAGCAACTAATATATTGGAGAACATCTTTTCCTTGTTTTGGTTTGTGCAGTAGTCAAAATTATTATATGGCAAGGTAATTCACGCGCTATGATTGGTCAATTTGCGGTCCATAACTTATGGTACGGACCGAAAAATCAAACTTGCCTGCTTTTGTCAGTTTTTCCAAAATTGAAACTCGTCGCACAATGTTGGTAGAATCCTTTCGTGACTACAGGATATTCATAAAACTATTCCTGGTTTGAAAAGGTATTCAGAAGACGAACTTCCTAACTTTGTGGTTGAGTTTCCAGTAGACATGTCACACGAAGAAGAAAACAAAGAGCCTGAAGTCAAGAGCTAGATGATTTAATGAAATCAGAAAAGCTCAATTTCACACTGTGTTCAACATTACTCCATCAGACAAAGGCTTTCTCACGTTAAAATGAGAGACCATTTGTCAATACTGACCAGTGTTGTTTATACACCTATTTCAATAAACGTTGTCATCGGCGATAGGCAATAGGCGATATGCGAAAATCGATAAGATATATGTCATTCCAAGATCCAAGATTAGCTGGAATGACATGTTTCTGCTTCTTCTTTTTCTCGTCAATAGTATGGACCTTAGTGTTGAGACTGATTTGATGTTCTTGTATTCAACGAAACCATTTCCATGTCGGAATGACCTATCGCCTATCGCCTTTGGCGATGACATATTTATTGAAATAGGTGTATACAGTTTATGCCATGAAGAATTATGCAACAAACCCAACCTTTTATTTTCTCATTCCTCCTTTTCACAGTAATCTGGGATTTGCACTGCTGGCTCGTATTCTTGCTCACCGGTTTGCCGGGGGACACTATGAGAAATGGGTTCTCAAGAATGTACTTATTCCTCTGCGCATGACTAACTCTGGTTTCGATTTGAAAAGGTAAGCCATTCTCGTACCCAGAGCATTCTTTGCCATTCTCATCCATCAAAGGGTATGACACGTTGCTTTTTTTGTGAATAGTACTAAATAATTTGTGGAAATAGGGAAGGATGAAGCATCGACTAGTTTTTTTTCCTGACTATATAAAAAAAATTACGGACACAGGTTGACGTCGACAATGTAACTGCCACCGCGAGGCGGTACTACACGGCTACATTGGTGAGATTAGGGTTACGGGTTACAATGGCGTTTTCCCGCCAAATGATTAAGATTTCGCGGTACTGAGCAGAGAAGCGGGCGAACAGATACGAACGACGCAGAAGACGAAGAAGACAGCAGCTAAACTTCGAGAAAGGCAGACTAAAAATCACGTCATAAAGTTCCTGTCGTTCCTGCCGCTTTAGTACCACTTTGTCGGCTCTAGTAATGTCAAACTTGTTTTTAATCAATGTTTACAATTCTTAAGATTTATTCATACTTATTCTCATTGTATTAACTAAACAACAGCATGCCAACAAACAAAGCAGTAAGCTATGGATCTGATGGCCGACCAAATGCTGAGGTAGACTGGGGCTGGGCTGCGCCTGCATTTCAGTTCTATTCAAGTACAGCCGACTTATCAAAGGTAGCTAGTTTTCCCCGCCTTGCATTTCATTCTATTTTCCTCTTGTTTTAGCTTCCACATCGAGTACTTTAATATCTATTTCTGTTACAGTTGATGATGGCTTTGTTTCAAGTAACTTCATTTAGAATTCTTCAACCTGAGATGCTTACACAAATATTGACGCCAAGTAAGTTATTCAGTGGTTTGACACTGGAGACAAAAGAATTGTCTTGAAAAATATTTTTCAAAAAAATAGCTTTAAAAGTGAGAGACTGGACTTTAAACCCAAAATGTGGCTGAAAACTACCATCCTGCCTTTTAATAACTTCACCGTTAAATGCGTACGTACGAAACTGCTTTACTATTTACCATGCATTTGCAGGCGGCGGCCATGTTTATCCTCTTGAAAATAAAACATCTGTTGTTTACATCTGGGTAAACTCATCGATTAAATATTTGTTCCGACAAACAGGGTAAACTAACCTCGACATTCCTCATTTTAATCAATAATTTATTGATTTTCTAGATTTCGTCTATCCTGATGGTTCTACGATGATAGGGCTTGGTTGGGAGATGAAGCTAACAGGCTCGTTTATTCTGGTTTCTAAAGCAGGCATTATACCGGGATATTCAGCTGGCTTTGCTTTCTATCCTCAATTAAAATTAGGTGAGTGTTGTCTATGTGTAGCCAAGCAGCGTTTCCTTTAATAGGGAGTGTTCAAAATCTGTCATGTTATTATATTAGTGTTCCATCAATTATTCCCCTCAGGCTCAGTGATTATGGTGAATCTAGCGATAATCACTTCCCTTTACCTAATCGTTAATTGATTGATGGGCTCTATACTGCAAGCATATGTTGAGGCGCAATTTTATTTGTCATATTTCACTCCAAATCTCAAAAAATACCATTTTTAACGCATGACAATAGTTTAACAAATCAGGCTCAAAAACTAATGACCCCTCCCCCCCCCCCNCCATGTTCTCATAAAACCGTTCAGCACCTGAATGGAATGAATGAAGTAAGAGTAATTTGATAAAGGTTGACCCCCCCCTCCACCACCCCTCTTTCCCCCGTTAAATAATGACGGAGCTTTAATCGTTACTTGATGTGCTATGTTCTTTCAGGTGCTATTGTGCTCATGACTGGTCGCGAGGTTGCACCAGCTGCTGTTGAACTTCTTTTAAAACCAATAATACAACGTTTCGCCTCCTTCATGATTAAACAGATAAAGGTTGGTATGACTTCATGTTTCTCACGGGTCAAATTTCATATTTCCGTCTACTCTGTAACTTACTTAACATTGTTACTTTTATATCCCTTTTTTACTTGTGCCGGATACGCGAAACGTAGAAACGAGTTATTGTTAGGGGTCTGAAGATGCAAATGTGGTTTTCGATTTAGTGGCTTAAATCCGGGTTTGGCACAATTAGTGCCGGGGCTGGTACTATTTAACACTCAGACTACGAGGTCGAGTTTTCTATGAATCAATAGATAGTCGACTATTTGACTCATAGAAAACGAGAACGAGTAGTCTAATTGTTTTAGCATAAACCTATACTAGCTAATATTATAGTCTTAAAAACAGAGAATGACACTGAAAACCTTACTTAACAAAACGACGACTTTAATTTCTTTATTGTTTTGTCTGTTCTTTCCGTTTAAAATTCTTCTTCAGAATACACCTGAATAAGTTGTATTTTGGGTATTTTCTATTTTTCGAGGAAATCTTTTAAAATGTTATCATTATCTCAGTAGTCAGTTGTTTGTTCGTCGTAAAGCTTGCACATGAAAATCTCAGTGAAATCTGATGGCGGCTTTTTCGTGTTAAAATTGCCATAATTCTTCAGTTTTTAATTTATCTGTACTGTTCAAAACCTCTATTCTTTTCCTTGATACAGTCTTGTCTTTTCTACAATCGATTTTCAAAGAATTTTTAGAAAGCAAGCGGAAATTTCAACGAAACATGACCATGCACTTGTTTGTTTTTCGCTACTCGCTATCTATCACACGATAAATTTGTATGGTAAAACTCACTTGCTCGAAGACTCGCTCCTTCGTTCTTCGATAAAAATCCGGCACTCGTGAATAAACTCCCGTACGTCACACTTTCCATTAAATAATCTCTGTCTATCTACAACTTGAAGATTTTTACGATTTAAGTTTTAAAGATTTTTCATTTGCACTTCACGTTTGCATGGTTATTTAGGTAATATAGACGCTATACATATGTAGTTTGCTCTCCTTGTTACCCCAATGAAAAAACCCTGTGGACGAGAAAACCTAACAAATATATTTTTATGAAGATCACTTAGACTGCCGAGAAAAAAATCATAGCTTTAATGAACGAACGAAATAAATAAATGGAAATTTTCAATGAACTAAAAAAAATGAACAAATATTGATTAGCTTTTCTTACTTTTCAGATTAACGTTCCTTCAAATACAATGAAATACTTAGGTTCGTATGAGCTGGTCTCGAAGTGGATCGAAAAAGTCCGATTCAACATCACATTAGAAGAGAACGTTCTCCAGCTACACCAGGATCCCGGCTTTCCTTCGCTCTCTTATCTTAACTTTATTAAAGATAACATACTAGAATTAGTCTACAAACCCGGCTTCTCTTGTAAAGTATATAGTATGGGGCAGAACCATGAGAGGCTGCACTTCTACCCACCGCCATCCCAGGATGGAAAGTGTCCTGGGTTTAAATTTGGACCTTTTGAATTTGTAAGAACTAAAGAAAACTCCTACACTAGGCGGGAGTTGGGTGGCTTAAAAATGACATTATCAAGATTGCTTTGATAGATGTCGCTCTTAGATGTCGGTTGAGAGTTTCAACCTCTTCTGGTTCGCCTTTGGCTGTCGGTTTTATTCTGTTCTGGTTTGCCAGAAACATCGCAGCATGAAAAAAAGAATACGTGGAGAAATAATAAACAATTGCCCTATTTCATAATGACGACACATCAAAACAAACTATTGTTTTAACGCTAGGGATCATGGTCTCTGGAGAGGGATGGAATGACAACACATCTTAAATCACAATGAAATTTGGTTTATGAGCTGGTGAAGGCAAGAACAACTAAATATTACGCTAAATACCTCGAAAGAAGAGAATTAAGCTTAAATTAGCCTAAATTTCTATCATTTTAGCCGATGTAAACAAACCGTGACGTCATTATGAAATAGGGCAATTATTGGATGAAGTTTGATGATATTTGGAATTATCGATGTCGAGGTAAGAGTCATTGGCCAACGTCGTAGGCTGAGGCCAATAACGTTTGCCGAGACATTGATAATTCCGGATATCATCAAAACCGAATCCAATAAAATGTTTCACTATACATTGTTCAAATAGATTATAACTAATAATACAAAGAATGATAAATTTATATTATGGATTAATATATTGGAAAACAGCATCGACTTATCCACTACGAGATAAGGATTTATCCGTTGGAAAGCGCTATCCACCCTTTGTACAACCGGGCCCTGATTTCTAGCTAGGCTAATAAAATTCCAAAGAAAGTATCATTAATTAGTCATAAATTATTATTATTTATCATAACTTATTAATTTATTTGTATTCAATTTATTGCTCAACATATCAGTTTCAAAATGCTTTTATTGCAGTCAGGTTAAGATCGAATAGTACTTCTGTCTCTTTAGTTACTTTTTAATCTGCAGTTTGCGATTGTAAAGCGACAGACTTCACCTCTTTGGAGTTGAAAAACGTGTCGCTTTATCCCTTTGCATTTTGGGGGACGCGGGATAGGAAACCTTAATTGTATACATACATACATACGAACATACTATTTTGTACCTGTAAGACAGATGTACAACATCAAGGTTATGTACAAGATAATTTGTAAATTTGTGTTAATTTTCTAAGTTTTAAAAATAAACGAATTAAATAATTGTTGTTTTTTGTTCTTTGTATACCAGCTGAGTTGACTGCAGTCCCAATCTTTATGTGAATTATGTGCAAAAAAGATTTGCAATCGGATAAAACACGTTTATGCACCAGCGTTCCAAACGTGGAAGGTAGCGGTCAAGCGTGAGGGGGTCCAGCCGGTCCAGCCACCTTAAGTGTATATTGTATAATGACAACTAGCGTCCAGAGGACAAAGAATAAGTTAATGTTAGGATCTGCGCGGACGGAAGAGTAAGGACGCACTGCTCTTCTCCTTCTCCTTCTCCTTTCACAAGGTCACTTCCCATTTGCTATGCGTTAAAGCTCCGAGGAAGATCAATTGTGTTCAACTAGAAATAGTTAGCTTGCTTATGAGTCGTTTAGGAAGTTTAATGACATTGCACTGTATGTAAGCCCTTGCTGCTGGCATCGAGAACACGACTTCCCATTTCTGTTTTTCTGTGTCGTAGCATTCAACATCAGCGCGAGCACCATGCTCACTTACTCCACCAATAATATAGATCTTTCCATTGATCGTCGCAATGCCTGCAGCCGCTCGTCTAACATGCATGTCTGGTATTACAGTCCACGTTCCTGTGTCGGGATCAAAGACCTCACAACTGGACAGCGGTGACATGTCTTCGGCTTCGTATCCTCCTATGACGTAGATCTTTCTATTGATGGTCGTTGCGCATGCAAAATTTCGTCGTGTGCACATTGTGGTTTCGTGTCTCCAGTGATCTTGTCCGGGGTCGTAGCTCTCAACTCCCCCCAACTGCCCATACGTATCGTTCATTCCTCCGATGGCGAAGATATACCCGTCCAGTACGACAGCTGAGTGTGCCTTACGACGCACGTTCATCGGTGCCTTCAAACACCACGTATTGTCCTCGGGGTCGTAGCACTGGACCGTATTGTATGGTTGGAACGAATCTCGACCTCCGATTACATAGATTCTACCGTCTATGGTAACTGCAGCAGCAGACGAGCACTTCACCGGCAAAGACGCAACTTCTGTCCAAGTATTGATGCGGGGATCATAACGTTCCACTGTGTGTGTGTTCTTGTACCCACCGATGGCGTAAAGAAAATCCCCACAAGTAACTGTCACATGTTCGTCACGTGGATAATTCATTTCAGTGAGCTTCATCCACTGACCTTTTGAAGGAAGGAAAGCTTCAGTATTTTTGTTAGCTTGGATGGTCAAATACGTCCCGCCAGTGACTACTATAGACACCTCTTCTTTCTTTAAACATTTTCTGGGCAACCCCAGCTCGACGTTAAAATCCGGCGCGCCATCACGCCTTTCATGGTATGAGAATACGAATGACTTAAAAACCTTGAACAACATATTAGTACAATAGTCGCTCTCTTTGACTAGAGATTCGCTTTCAACATAATCAGCTAGATAATATTTGGATATGCAAAGAAGTCGAACGCAACCGAACAGTTTCTCAAAGTGTTGCTTTCTGTTTTCCAAATCATGGTAGATCCACTCTTGAATCGCTTCAAAAATCACCTCTTCTTTAGATATCTGAACTTCGTCGCTTTTAAAAAACTCCATCACAAAATGCACGTCCAGTGCTTTGAAACCATCAGTAAAACAAAGGGTCTCGAAATTTTGATTTATATATTCTTTTGATTTAACACTCAAGTCTTTGCAGCTGAACTTGTCTCCAAAAACATGAAGAGAAAAACAGTTACAGTGCGTGATTCGTTTTTGTAGAAACAATGTGCCGAGTTCCTTCAAGCTAGGTATTATTAAGTAGTCGGCGATGGCTACAATATCAGCTGCGTTCTCCTCCGTTAGCGATATGTCTCCCGTATAGATGAAAGACAGTATTTTTTCAATCCATCTAGAATCGAGATCATTGTATTCCACAAACATTTGGTCTTCCTTCATTTGGCTCATAAACAAACCTCGGAAGTAGAGACTAGCCGAAGCAAGAACACTGCGATGAGCCGGAAAGTCTTTGCTCTTCACTCGTAAAATGACGTCGCATAGACTTCCACTTTTCCTCATTTGGTTCGCATTTGCCAAGAGTTGGGAGAGATATTTTTCTTTGATCTCTTTTTGGAAGTTAGTTACTTCGGCGTCCATGATGGTAAATACTCTCCCGATTTGTTTCTTAGTCGTGGGGTTTTGCGTCGCTTTATCGTGTCCTTCTCGTTCTTTTTGTTCTGTTTGCTTTCTCCTACAGCTGATGGAATAAATATTCTTTTGTGTTCAGTACAATTGTGTAACTGGTTACTGCCTTTAGAATTTAAATACAATACCTGGAAACGAAAGCTCATTATTCATTTCTGGATAATTATTAGATATTTCTCAAGAAAAGACACGACGACACGTCTACGCACAAAACAGTTTTATTGCTTAAGAAGAGATAACTAGCTAAAAACTAGTGTGAGCTGCGTCGGTGTTTTTAATGAAACAGTAATGATAAAAGGATAAATTATACACCGTGAAAAGATGAAAAAACTTCAACTGACGTTTCGGACGCTAGTCCTTCGTCGCAGTAAAAGAGTTTTGTTGCTTATGATGGTTGTGATTCTTGATTCTTAAAGAATCTTAAAAGCCTGGAATTTAACGGGGTTTTTCTTTTCAGTGATATGAATTATATGAATACAACTCGATGTTAACTATTTGAAACAAAAGGCTTTATATGCCAACTATGTAAATGACATGGATATTACAGCAAACATTTATACACATGGAGAAAGTAAATGTGATTGTTCATTTTAATGTTGGGCACGCATTGATTGCATGAGTACTGCACACTTCCATTAATTAATGCCAGCAGCAAAGATTCACAACTGAATCAACACCATTCACAGCAACAACAAGCCTGTCCTTAGTAGGCCTTCCCTATATACGTCATAGTAAATGATAAAAGGGTAAATTATACACCGTGAAAAGATGACGTTTTGGACGCTAGTCCTTCTTTTACTCCGTCCGAAACGTCAGTAAGGTTTTTCATCTTTTCACGGTGTATAATTTACCCTTTTATCATTACTGTTTCATTAGAAACACCGACATAGCTCACACTAGTTTTTAGCTAGTTATCTCTTCTATATACATCACAGTAGTGTCTGAGTAGATAATCAGAACCCTAAAGTGGTTTCAACGAAATTAAGACCGCATCCGAATCCGTGCGTAGCATCTCTATCTAAACGAAACCTAAAGATAAAGTAGAAAAGGAACTCAAGACAGGGCTCCTTCTCCGAGTTCTGGACTCAGTTTACTTGATTCAATAGAAACAACAAAAGACCTCAAGTTATACAATAGAACAAAGCTAACAAAGAATACAATATATGTTTACGGTACATGCAAAAGGACCCCAAGACGGGTGTTGTATATAAAATTAAAAAAAAAAAAGAGTATTACCTGTAATTTAAAGTTTGATTGCGATTCTACCAAATCCAATGTGACGCGGTGAAAATGAGATGCGCACGTGCATGCTGCAGTCGATATTCAGAGTTTTAAGTAGAACCATCGCGGCTTCTACTTCTACTTCATTAACTGATAAAGTGTACCACGCATCACATCAGCATCAAAATAAATCAATAGTATAAATATGCAATCTTGGTATAACAAGCCATATTCGCGCGCATTGAACTATGTCGGTTTATTAACGCACAGAAACCGTGCAAAGAAGTATGCGAATATAAATTATTTGTGGTCACACTTTTGCGCGTTGCGCTCTATAATAAGATTTTTGTAGTAGTTATCGATTTTTTTCTTCTGAGAAGACAGACATTTACGATTTTCAGTAATCGGTTTCTGTTCCATGACATCAAAAAACACACTTTAACTTGTAACGTATTAGCAACAGTAACTAGTACAGAGAGGCAATCCCGGCTCTAACCATTCTTCGTTTTCCTGCTCCTTGCAACCGCGAAAAGTCTAAAAGCAGTTGAGCAGACGCTGGCCAGTACGAAAGCGCTGATTGGTTATTTTTTATCATCAATAAGAGGACAGACAGATAGAGCTGACGTCAACGAGCGCGCGCTTTTTCCGTTGGTTGTTTTGATCACTAAAAATGAAAAGTGTATCTTTTTTGTTATTGTAAAAAACAACTTGACATCAGTTTTTTTATGTGTATGTCCTCCCTCTTATTGACGATAAATTTCGTCATCACATTGCCAAAGTAGTAAGCGGATCCACACTACTTTGACAATGTGATGACGCAGTATCGTTAATAAAAGGACATGCACATAAAAAACTGATGTCAATTGTTGTTGTTGTTTCTATTGACAGTGATGCAGCTAATAAATAATTCCGCCCTCTGGTATGACCTGGTAATGCCCTAGATTACCACATAACGAGTAAACAACAAGCACACGTGGTCCCTCGCGCTTTCATAAATATGCATATGCTCTTCAGAAAGTGGGCGGAATTTTTGATTTGCTCATTAAATTTGTCAACATCTGATTGGTGGGTTGAGAGTAAAAGTTGATCCAAACTTTCATCAACGCCTAGAATATATAAAAAAATGCGTAATTAAATATGGCGTCAGTGCTAATTAACTATTGTTTGTGGATACAAAAGAAGTTAAGCCTCTAAAGGGGAGTTCTGACGTTGATTGACCAGAGCGGCGTAGGAAAGGAAAGAAAAGGCTGTATAGATATCAAGAATTTTATGCCAATATTTAATTGGTTCGTGGTTCATTTCTCGTCACACACACCTGGTCACCCATGTTGAATGCCATCTTTTCGCCCCATGTAAGGGAATCCGGACTTATGGTGGATTCCGGATTCCAAGTGCTGAATTCCGAGACTCTGGATTACGGATTCCAAGGGTCTGGAGTCCGGATTCAAAAACTTTTGTATTGCGGATTCCGGATTCCATATCGCTAATCTTCAGTACTTTCTCTGAAAATTATATTTGATATACTTGCCAGTATAGCTAGGGAGGTGTATATAACTAGCGTGATAAAAAAAACAATTGACAAAAGCGCATACATTACGTTTCAGACACCATAACGTATTGCAAATAGCCCACTCCTTCCTTTTGAATTCATTTGTCATATAACCTCTAACGACAATTTCCTGATCTAAATTTCAATTTAATTATTGTTAAAGCGCACCGGATTCCAAGGCCTGGATTCCGGATTCCAGAGTGCTGGATTCCGGATTCCAAAGCCTAAAATTTCGTGGATTCCGGATTCCCTTACATGGGGCGAATCTTTGCAGTCACACCATCAGTCATTCACAGGTTGAAAAATGTCCTTTATTTGTCAGTATCTCATGATGTAAACGTTGCACAATCAGGCATGTATACATGAAGCCGCATACTTTCCTATAATTTCCGATAAAAAAGGCATTTAACTTTTATTCTCTTATTCTTACTAAAAAAAGTTAAAAAACGGGCAAGCATGTCGACCTAAAACCGAATTGTACTGATCAAATGTCATATTAATGAAAAATGGAATTTCATAACTGGAACCAAAAAGGAAGCAAATACCCTAAAATTATTTTCCATGGGACTTCATTTTTACATAGTACAGTCAGTGTCACAAGCTAGACTAAACTAGAGTTCAAGCACCTTTTTTTAACTTCGATTCGCAATCTTCATCTTATCTAATCTTCTAAAAGCTCTTCAGGCCAAATGCTTCCCTGAGTCGATCACTCCTTTGTTTTTAGAGTATATTTTTTCAGGTTTGGCAACATTTTCAGTATTTTTACTTTAGTTTCTGAAGAAACATAGCACTGAAACACATGAATTTCGTTAAGTTTATTACAGGCGCTAGATAGATGTAAAAGAGCATTTTCTAGCTCTGGGCTATTTGTCGTCGACAATGCTATTTTTTCAAGGGTTTTGCTATAATATTGAGTAGCAAAATAAACTTGTTGAACTAGACGTGCTTGAACAAGCAATCGTAGATAAGATACAGGGATTTCTGGTTTAAGAATGGCGTTAACTTTGAACATAGGACACGACAAATCAAAATATAATGTCACTCGAAGATTCGGCAGTTTGGCTCTCACGGTGCTCCATGTTTCCGACGAAATATCTCTGCCATATTTTTCTTCTCTTCTGCATAAGACGGAAAGATTGCTTAAAGGTGATCTTCCTTCTTCTATAAAACTCAACAGGATCTCTTCCGTGATGTTACCATAGTGGGTAGCTAAGGATTTCAACTTGCGACATCTTCGCACAAGCTTCAGGATACAGCTAGCAGTAACTTTGCAAACCAATGATGCATTCTGTATGTCGAGATATTCCAGTGTTTCAGCATTATGTTCGGCCAGACAAAGTAGGAGTTCATCATTCAGTGCTACAGGGAGCCCACGTAAATCTACACTTTTAAGCCGTGTGAGAACTTGAACATTTTTAGTTTCGACTTTTGTCGGCGGAGAGCCGAAAATTCCTCTTAAACATTCAACAAACTCCTGGCCAGCATAGAACAAAGGGTTCTCCCCTGTAAAATTTATCTTCAAACGCTCAAGTCTTTGTTTCTCAAGTTCGTAAAGGCCACGAATCAGCTTACACGCATTCTCTCGGTTGACTTTGTCTTCTTGATTACATCGAATATATACGGATCGTAGATATTGTCCATGTTGATGAAGAAACGGCTCATACTTGAAATCCTCTGGTGTTAGAAATTGAAACGTAAACGAATGCCATAAGAATGGCGACTTGAAAGCATCTAGCCAAGACTTGCACACCAATGCTAGTTTAGATCTCGTTGGTATGCTAGTGTAAGAAAAAATAGACACGATAACGTGCTCAGGTAAATCGGCCCAAGATTTATGCTCCATTGAGAGAACAGGTTATAACTTATAAAGAAGCACGTCTTCCGATCCTGTAAGATCGACTGGCTACATACCAAAACATTCCTACAGCTTCTAAAATGTATTTATAGAATCAAGATGACGTAATTTAAATTCCATATAAAGACATAACTACCAGCTGATCTCGACCAGACCTTTTGTCTTCACAACAAAGGCGTCACGGAACAAAACACAAATACGGTTTTGGATGTGACTAAAAACGTCACAATCTTTCTAATCATGAAAAAATTTAACGATATTCGAAGAAGTTTTTCGAAATTATTACTTTATAATTAAGTTTGACTTGTGCCTTCCTTTTATTACCAGTGAAGCGGTCTCAGATCAGCTGTTCGCATTCAAAATAAATTAAGATTTCTAAGTAACGCACTCCTTTAGTAACAGTCAAATAAAGAGCTTTTACTTTAGGTAATTACTATACACTTAAATGTCAACAAATAATAAACCTGTGACTTTTCCAGTATCCATAGACTCCAACACCCAATTATTTAATAGTGCGATGGCTTGTGCAGCTAGGCTTCGTCCAAAACCCGTGCTGGTGACCATATATACTGTTACTGAGCTTATCCAGATGGGAGTTTGTATATTTGTATATACACAATTCGCTCAACAGTCTTTCTCATTACTGGCTAAATTGAAATTTAAGCTAATCTTGGAACTTAAAAATGCTTTCAGAAAACCTTCAAAAACTGTAATCAACTAAGAGTATAAAAGCATAAGACCTTAATTTGGGATGCCTGTGGTAACGAGGGCTCAAGATTGTACGTCAGCGGTTTTTGTTAGTTACCAGGTTTTCACGGTCAGGTGCGTAGTAACAAACAAAACAACAAAGAGAACGTTGACAAAAAAACTGGATCTTTTACACAAAAATAGCTGTAACTACCCTTACGATCATATATCATCCTTATAAAAGGTTTCTTTTAAGTCTTTAAGACAAAGTTTTTCTTAATGTAAGTGTTGAATTGAATCTGAAAAACAGTGACGTAATTTGTATAATGTTATAGTTCTGTCATGGCGTTTACAAAAACTCGAAAAGCGTGCAACCTAAATAGTACTTAATTATGCCTATTCTGTTGTTTTCTATTGTTTGAATACTTCTATTTCGTTCTAAATTGTGCAAAGTATTACACGCTTTTAGTGTTTGTATTCTATAAATAACGACAAGTTTAATTTTCTGCTTAATTTTTGCAAAGGTTGAAGTTAAATTCATCTGGTGGTAAGTTTGACATTACTATTGATGGTAAGTATGATATGATATTATAGTTCACAACAGGTTTTTGTTAGCCTTTAAAAGTCTTTGTGCTATCACGATAATTAGTTGAGATTGGAATGGCAACTAGGCATTTTAAAATGGCCGAGTTCTTTCAACCGCTCTGATTGGTGGAATAGAGTGCAAACAATTAATCCGTGAAACACTAATTACTAAATAGTACAAAATAGTGCTAATTAAGGTGACTGCCTACTTTTGGAAATTGATTTAAGCTTTTTTTAARACTTCGATTTTCCGAATTGAAATTTAATGCCGATTCCAAATCTGGAAAGAAAAATAGGGTGTCCTGAGCTCGTTTTCGAGATAATCAGCATTTAATGGAAGCCTACGCACGAGCTTTTGGAGTAAAAATTGCGCCACTGGAAGTGATTAGAAAAAATTAAGATTAATAAGATAATAGTTATTTGCAGACTATATGATTGCACGAAYGAAGGCTAGTCAATCMTTCTACAATAATACATGGATATTTTCGACAAAAAGACAAAGAGATACATTGATTTGTCATATTTTGTAGTTTTGGTGCTCATAAAAAATTTCATAAAGTCGAACAAAAAACCCTACAAAAATCTATTTTTTCACGTGTTCCTGATTTAAACTTTTCCTAAAATGTTGATATAACCTAGATTTTTATGAGTTTTTTCGAATGAGCTATCAAAAAATATAGAGTCCCGTGCAAAATTTGAGGGTTTTGCCCTGTTGAAGCTCAAAACGCRTATGGTTCTTCAATAAAATCTTGTAGATTTTTCAGCGGTTTTTGAGCGCGCGCACATCGTGGGCTCAAATCGAACGTTCAAAAGTAGGCAGCCACCTTAAACAATGGTAAACGATGGAATTTACATGAAATTGTGCTATTTAGTATTACTAAAGTTTCACGGATTTACTGTGGTCACTCTACCATTTTGGATTAGAGTTTTAAGCAATAAAACAGTATTTTGGATTAAGAGGAAATTTTTTTCAATAACGCGCAATAATGGCAAAAAGCACCAAAAACTAGACCTATGCATGAGTTTTGATCACGATTTTTGTTTTGGGTTAACACTCAAAACCTTTTTTAACAGTTAGAAACTGATGTACTATGATGAAATGCTTGTTTGAAGTAGTATTTTCAATTGTACAAAGATGTTTTGTTGCATTTGTGTTAGAATGTTGCTTTGTCAGGCTTTTTTATAGAAAATATATGGGAAATAAGCAAAYGAAGACCTAAACCTCATTTTCGATTCAAATTTTTGCTTTGGGTTAACACTTTGATTCCACTTTCTTCGGTCATCTCCACTTCCAAACAAGTTAAACTTTCTGAATAACAAGATTATAGCCTCATACAACAGCCTTTCTTCAAAGAAAATAGTTTTTGGTGCTCACCACGTTTGAATACCAAAAAGATTCTCTCTTGATTTCTTATTTGAAAAAAAGTAGATATAAAATGGTTTTCTGTTTTAGATACTCTATCTAGACGTTTGGAAGGTTGGAAAAATTTAGTTAGATTTATTTAAGTCATTAACCAGAATTAACTTAAAATTGTTGTTTTTGTTGTTAGAATCTCTTTTTGGAGCTGGTAAAAAAGACACAGTAAAGGTATATTTTTGTATTTTTTCTTGATGTGTATAATTGTCAACTCTAATGTTATTTAATTGTCATGCGTAGCAAAGAAATGGAAAGACTTGACTGCTGTATATATAAATTATATACATACGTATCATCAGTATATTAAGATTTTTATCCAATGGGGCTTGTTTTTCCAGCTTATTCCTTGAATTTCATGTGTGAAAGGTGAAATCTTTTTTGCAAATTAGTTACACTACATAATTTATGAAGCTAATTTTCTTTAATTCTCAACATAAATATTATGCAGTAATACTTATTGGGTAACTTCATAAAAATTAAATGAATTTACCGAATAAGTATTACTGGATAATATTTATATTGAGTATTAAAGAAAATTAGCTTCATAAATTAAGTATATATTATTTATTTGGTGACTCAGGGTAATAGCTACATGTAGAACGGTACACAATTTACAATTATTTTAATTGTTTAAAACCCAAGAAATTCCTTTATTCTTAATTGGTGACTGAAAGTTCCTGTTTATCTGTTGTATATAGAAGCTTTGCACCATCATGCAACAGCAGCCAAGTTAAATTGCAGGAACAATTCAATCGTTTTGCATGAGAAAGAATTTTGATTGATTGACTGATTGATTGATTGA